TTAGAAATCACCATCTCTGACCGTCTTGCTTGGACACACATAGAAAATGGTAACTCCTAACAACTAACTCCTTTATACCTGATTAAAAAAAAATTGTCATAGGTTGTGTATAATTGTGTATACTTGCTTGGAGAGAGAGGAGAGAGACGGAGAGAGAGAAAGAGAAGGGGGGAGAGAGAGAAAGTATGTGAGAGAGCAACCAGCAACCCCAGGGGGAATGGTAACACTGCAATCCCTTCTCCATTCTCCTCTTGGATTTTTGGTATGCACACACATGCAACATAAACTGTCTATGTGGGATCCAGCCACCTTAACCATCATGCTACTACCATGGACTGAACCCTATGACTACTTTCATCCTTTTCAAAGGACATTTTGAAACCTGGCATGTTATTGATTATTCCTTTTCAACAGCTTTGTTGAGTTTTAATTGATATACAAAAGACTACACATAATTGTGTACAATCTGATAGTCTTTATATAGGCAAATACATATGATACCTTCAGCTGAAGCAGGTGGCTAGACATTATTTTCTTATCTGCTTGTATACATAAATATCTATCATTGGGGATGGAGGGGTTTTACCGTCAGTATTCTAGTCACTGCCCAGTCAGTGTCTATATCATGATCACCAAACAATATATAATACAAAAAAATTTCTCAATTAAACCATAGACTATGAGACACCTAGAGGAAAAGGGTCAGTGAGTAGAAAAGGAATTCCTAAATAGTAATGGTTCTTCGAATTCCCTAAGCAGTGTATATCAATAAATAAAATATAAAAATTATTATGTTTTGGACTAGAAAGTACCAATTGCAGCATTATAACTATATCAATGATGCAAATTTGTGTAAACAGTGATAATTTTTTTTCTCTTTCCTGATAGTCACATCTATCACATGGAGCCTGGGAATAACACAAACATTTTAGAATTTCTTCTTAAGGGACTTTCAGAGGAAGTAGATTTGCAGCCGATCATATTTGAGCTCTTCCTCTCCATGTACCTCATCACTATATTTGGAAACCTGCTCATTATTCTGGCTACCATCTCAGACACCCATCTACACATACCCATGTATTTCTTCCTCTCCAATTTCTCCTTTGTAGACATCTGTTTCACCACCACCACCATCCCAAAGATGCTGGTGAATATACAGACACAGAGCAAAGTCATAACCTATGCAGGCTGCATCACCCAGATGTACCTTTTCATCCTCTTTGTGGGGCTGGACAGCTTCCTCCTGGCTGTGATGGCCTATGACCGGTTTGTGGCCATTTGTCACCCCCTGCACTATATGGTTATCATGAATCCCTGGCTCTGTGGGCAGCTTATTCTGGCATCCTGGATCATAAGTTTCCTGCAGTCCTTGTTACAAAGCTTAATGGTGTTCCGCCTGTCCTTCTGTACACACGTGGAAATCCCCCAATTTTTCTGTGAACTTAATCAGGTGGTCCACCTTGCCTGTTCTGATACTTTTCTTAATGATATGGTAATATATTTTGCATCTGTGTTGCTGGGTGGGGGATGCTTAACTGGCATCCTTTACTCTTACTGTAAGATAGTTTCTTCTATATGTGTAATCTCATCATCTCAGGGAAAGTATAAAGCATTTTCCATCTGTGCCTCTCACCTCTCAGTTGTATCCTTATTTTATTGTACAATCATAAGTGTTTATCTTAGTTCTGCTGCTACCCATGACTCACAGTCAAGTGCAACAGCCTCAGTGATGTACACTGTGGTCACCCCCATGCTGAACCCCTTCATCAACAGTCTGAGGAATAAAGATGCAAAGAGGGCTCTGAAAATATTCTTTGGAGGGAAACTGTAAAAGCACCAATTATCCTGGGACTAAGGAAGCTTCCATGATTAGAGGGCCCAAAACTTCAGTCAGACATGGTATTTGATGAGATTATGAAATTAGTACTTGTTCTTACTATTTATCCCTCTATGTACTGCTTTTATTTTAATCTGTATAATTTAAATAACTTTCTCTACTAATTTCTAGTCTCCTTGATATCCAGTCATTTTTCATGTATCATTTCATACTTTCCCAAGATTATCCTTAACTTTTATCAGAGTTATTTAGAGATTCATCTCTATCTGATAGCATAAATGAATTTCTTGAGAATAATTTTTTATCTGTGCGAACGAAATTAAGTAGGAAGCATCTCACTTCCTGGCC